TGACTCAGACCCTGGCTGGTAATCAATGAAGTGCACATTACATGCTTAATCACATCCCTTTGCCTCTCTCTTCTGGATATTTAAGGTACTCAGTGTGCAAGTATTTGATAAGTCCCTACTCCTGATGAACCGTGTCTTGCTCAGAGACCACCTCTGGCCTGGCACACAATGTCTCCTTGACGTGGCGGACGAATGACTGTGGTCTTTATACTATATTTTGTCTGGGGCTCTCTATGCAAGTAGCCGGATCTCAGCCCATTCTGAGCTAACTTTCTTCCCTAATTCTAATTTCTTGAAGGAATCATTAAACAGATCATCGGGAGGGGCCATGCTCTCTCGAAGCACAGGTTTGAACCAAAGTCCTGGCTCTCCGCAAGTGGCTGGTAATGTGATGCTTACGTATTTAAAGCACTGGCCCAAATTGTTGAGGGAGAGTATCCTAGGCGTTTCACAAAGCATAGCAGGGGAGGAGAAACACCCAGGAGTCTTAGCACAGTCGCAGATTGTGAGCAGCTCGGGGAGAAAAGGTGAGGCCTGCAAGTGATTTGGGCCTTGGAACAGAAAAGACAGGGTGTCAATCAATCAGAGACCCAAATCTGCCCTCACACACTCAATACAATGAACCTACAAGCTCTGCTTCCCATTTATGATACTATAGTGCCAACAGGCTCCAGCGGAGATGTAGGCCTGTACAAATACGGGACAAAGAGACAGTCATTGCTCCAAAATGTTTATGCTCTAAGTAGTTAATAGCAAAATGCTATTGTGTCCATTTTATGGGCGAGGAACTGAGACCCAAAGAGATAACGAGACTTGTCCAGCGTCAAAGAGGAAATCCATAGCACATCTGGGCACCGAGTGGAGAGTACTTAAATTGCAACCAAATCTTTCATCACAAGAGCTTGGGACGTCCACCTCCTCCAAGCCGCTTCCTCCTGCTCATCTTTTAGCTCTCACTGATGTTGGGTTTCTTACCTACACTTCTAGTAATGAGTAAGCCTACCTCTTCTTACATTTGCTCAGCCACAAAGTTCTTCCAACTGAGACTTGCTTCAGATGTCCGCAGAACGTATGTGAAGCAAAGGGAGTCTGGGCGAGTACAAAGAGTCTCACAGTACAAGAACTAGGGGTCCCAAAGTTAAACTAGTAGGTAGTAAGTTCAAAACTAACAAAGGAAGCTCTTTTTCACACAGCGTGTCATTAAAGTGTGCAACTCATCGCTACCAGATGTTGTAGACACTGATAGTTCAGCTAAATTAAAAAAGGGATTGGACACATTTTTGGAGGAAAGGGGCATCAGTAGCTATTGAGCATGAGAATTAGGGATTCAGCCTCTGAATCAGAACTTCCTAGACCCTGAATGCTGGAGGCTGCAAGTGAGAGAAGAACCACGGGAAAAAAAACCCTGGTCATACCCAGTTCACTCTCCCTTTCAGCATCCACCCTCTGCCCGTGTGTGACACAGGAGACTAGGCAAGATGGACCTATGGTCTAACTCAGTAAATGGCAGTTAAAGAGGTCTAAGTTAGCGGCAGTGGATCTGACTGAGCCAGCACTAGTGAATTTGGCCCATGGGCAAAACAAGGCTTTTAAGAGTAGACTGTTAATGTAGATGTTATCCCCCACTCCCTTTAGCTCCTACTCTCCTAGCTGGGGAATCAAAGTAATCGGGACAGCATAGGATTAGAGTCATCATCATCATCATCATTACCATCTCTGGCCAACGCATCAAAGCACAGCACCCACACAGAGCACCTCCCTGGGTGTATCATGGCAGTGGAAGGGTAGGAATTTCTTCCTGGCCTCAGCTAGGGACCGTCCTGCGCTAGGCACATGGTTTGTTGGCTCTTGCGTTTCTATCCCAGCCAGGGTAACAACGCGTGCTATTGCTATGGTTTACACAAATAGCCCTTTCCTGCAGCCTTGGAAGAACAGAGCAAAATTATAGGGCAAAAAATCTACAATCATTAAAAGCAATGTTGTTGGGGTTTTTAGTCTGTGGAGCTCACTATCACATGATATTACTCAATGGAGAGGACAGCCCAGTTAGTCTTCTCTGGACCATTCCTTAGCCTGTTTTCTTCTCTCTCATCTCCTCGTGCTTTTCCCTCTTCCAAACCTAAGGTATGCTAGAAAAAAATGTGCATTGCGTTCAGAGCTAATTACAACTCTGATTATTTTAGTGAATACCCATCACCTTTCCTTACTTCCAACATAGCAAAAACCTCATGGCCGCAGAATAAGATGCAGGTGGTCAGAGCCTAAGGACGAGAGGATGACTCAGGAAAATGCCCTTTCCCCACCGCACGGTGCTTGGAAGGCATACAGCTCCCCATACTGAATTACCACGGGGATGTCCCGAATGAATAAACCTATCGACATTGCGAAGTCCGATACCCAGCTAAGGCCTGAGACCTCCCCCCGACCCTTCCCCCAGCCCATAGTTGCAGGAACTCATGATTGACTCAGCCTGATGGAATAGCTACTAGCATGGCCCCTAAATATAGACCGTTTGGTTCATCGTCTTAACATAGCTCGGCGCGCTGTGATAAAATCAGCTGTCAGAGCCTGGGCTGAGGCAGAGCAAGGATCAAGGGAGACACGGTGGAGCAGGGCTCCTTCCTAGGATACTCTAAGGGCTGCTGGGTTGTGATTTCCAACGCCGACAGATTTCCTCTGGGACTTTCTGCAGGAAAGACACAAGTCAGGAACACCTGGTAAGTCCTCTTTGGCTGGATAGCTTGGTTAGATTTGAATGATGATTTGCATGTCTCTGAATGATATACCACCAGAAAGGGCCTGAACTCAAAACCCATCAGCCGATGGGTACTCAGCCTCTCCTAGGCTGAAGCTCAATGAGTTTGCTGCCATCTAAGAAATGCATCTTGCCAGCCTGATGCCCTTTCCCTAGGGCAGGCTGAGTCTTGCTGCACCATCCCGTTGTATTTTCTGTCTGGGTCAGCAGAATTTTGGCTTAAGCATTTGGGGAGGCTACTGGTAATGGAGAGAGGGCTTTATACATGGGTGACAAAAAGCATCCTTGCTCCCCCTATGATCAAACCACCAAGGTTGTCAGGCCATTTTAAATTCACTGGGACACACCCTCGGCTATAGTTACTTCACCAGAGCTGTACCGATTTCCAGAAGGTGAAAGTTTGGCCTGTTGTAGCAGATGAAGCAGGTATAGCATTCACAGTACAGTACCAGCTGGCCAGATGTGTGCTGGAGAGGGCCACGGGGATAGCACCTTAGTGCTTGGAAGAGATGGAGGAGCCCGAGCGGTCACAACAAGGGGCAGTGACTTCTTTTTTCATGTTCGCTTGGCATTTGCAGACGGGGAAGGATGAGGTGGGTCTTGCAGGAACTGATGTCCTTTAGGAAGAAAAGTCCGACTAGGGCTTGCTAAACATGGAAACTGCCCCCCTGCCCACCATCTTGTTACCCCTCGACTTACGCAGATAATGAAGGAAGTGTTTGTGTGCCCATGCATCATTCATGGGGCTTCCTATGGGGAGCTGCACAGCACCTATCTGAAACCGTGGGGAACAGGGTTTGCCCAGCACCCTTCAGGATCAGGCCTATAATTTAGGACTTTGGGAAATCCTTTTAGCAGTGCTGTTTAGTTGTCCAGCCCAGGAAGGGCCTATAGAAAGGCCCAGAAACCTTTCCAACCCCTAGCAGTAATAGTGTACATCCTGGCACTGCTGAATCTATTGCATTTTATGTATTCTGCCTCATTTGCACCAGAGATGTGGACATTTTATCTAATAGATGGGGCAGAGCACTGAGTTGGGAGTTTTAGGGTCCACTTTCAATTGTGCCACTGAGCAAGTGGGTGACCTTGAGCAAATCACTTAAAGATTTTTGCTCTCAGCCAACATAAACCAGCATAACTCCATGGATTTCCATCAGCTGAAGGGTGTGTCTCTGTGTTGCCCTATAGGAGGTTAAAATGCTGCTAAAACTGCAGGCAAGTAGTCTGAAACCCTGAGGTGGAAAGCGCTGGTGAAATGCAAAGCATGTGCTCATTCATTTATTCTTGGGTTGTTCCTATTGTTTCCTTCTGGATACACCCAGTGAGCTCCAGCCATCACCTGGGAGGACAGCAAAGCTGTTTTTCCTTCCTAGCCATTGCCCTAAAAACCCTTATTAAACAGCTTCAGGCTCCTTTTCAGTAGAAAAAGCAAAACTAGGAAGAGTCCATATGTTAGAAATGCCAGTTAAAAATGGGAAAAACAAAGTTAGAAAACTTTCTAAAGCATCTACTACTCACCGCTGTCAGACATCAGACACAGAGCTGCATGGCCCTACGTCTGACCCAGTATGGCACTTCTTATGCCCTTCAGAGAAAAGGCTACCAGGCCCAACACAAAGTAGTGGGCAACCCTTTACCCTAACTAAATAAGAGCAAGAGAAATGATAGGGCCTGTGTGTAACATGCCTATTCATGCCCGTAAATGACTTGGACTATTCATTATATCCAAGCAAATGAAACAAAATAATCTTGAGGTAATAATACAGTAGTAAAAAGGTTTGTCTACACATAAAAGCCGCACCGGTGTAAGTGTACTGCTTTAGTTAACCCCTGGCCAGAGGATTATATTCCTTACTCAACTCGCTTGCTCCTGTATGGGAGGAGGAATAAGATGAAGTAGTACTACACACCTTCAGACCACTAGAAATGCAACCACACTGAAGGTGCAGAGGCATAGTTACATTGGCAAATAGCCAGGCATAATTAATTATACCAGTACAAAATGTGTGTAGGTCAAGCCACAGGCGCACGCAGGTATCTGGCAGGGGGGCTGGTAATGCTGTTGTCACTCCACCAGTGTTGTCCTCTTTAGCTCACCCTCTCTCAATGAAGGAAGGGAATGCCTTTCAAGTTCAAGGAAATGCTCCAAGCAGATACCCCATAGCTCCAGCTACTAACTGGGGCCTCATTCGCTGATGATTCCCTCGGTACCATTGCCTCATTCCTGGTCTCAAGTGCTTTTTACCTGGCATGAAGCAGGGTCTCTTTCTTTCCTCACTCAGAGCTGGGTTTCACAGAAGATGTTTCTTAGTGTTTTTCCAGCCAGGTGCTCTCAAAACTACATTGAGAGCAGCTGCCTTTTAAAAAGGGCAAATCCATTCTGGATAGGTAGCAGCTGAGCGGTGTGTATGCACCTTTAGTCTCAACCACTTTCTGCATCAGCCTCCTCATAATGCAGAATACCCTTGACACTGATTCTTGTTGGGCTGGAAATCATGTCTTCCATGTGCAGCGCCTAGTGCAATGAATAATGTTGGGTGCAGGAATCATCCTCATCAGGTTTCAGTGTGCGCGCTGGAAATGGTGCAACAAAAATAACTCTGTTGTCCAAAGCTGCATACTAACACTTCCTCTGAACGGCAGAAAAGTTTGGGTCTGGACCCTGAAATGACAGCTTGTGCCTTGGGCTCTTACACTCTTGACAGGAAAACACAGTATTTTTCCTTCTTCTCTTTAAAAGAGACTCTTAAAAAGTCAACCCTTCTTTTCTGCACCTCTGAGATCCATTCACTCTGTTTGAAGGAGCCAACACTTCTTCAGATTGAATGGGAAATGCTAGTGGTTGCTTTTTTAGGAGGTTACTGGGCTTTTTCTTCCAACAGGGTTTTCCAAAGAAGAAGTAAGATCTCTTAGCCTTGATTCATTAAGAGCTTTACATAATCTATGTTAGAATTTACCACCACCCTGTTCATAGTAAGCAAGAGGAAGCCATGAAACAATTGGTTGTGAATTCCCTGGTTGGTGATGGTCAGCGATAGCACGGCAGAATTCCCCACTTGGCTAAATTATACAGTCAACAGCATCGAAGCAAATATAGGAAATCAGGTCTTTGCTCAGCTTGAGTTCACCAAGGCACCATCCAAGGGAAAGCTGTGAATGCAGTAGGATGAAAGTCCCTTCTAAACAAAGCTCATTCCCCACAGCCAGACTGATCCTGAATTGACCCTGACCTGGTGTCAGCTGCCTGCCCTGTCACAGACTGCCTGTTTGACCTTGGGGGAATCACTTAATCTGCCCCTCAGTTCCCCTTCTTGACGATGGGGATAATACCCCTTTCCCTCACCCGCTGCCTCATCTACTGAGATGGTGAGTCCTATGGGCAGGGATTGAATCTCTTCATCTGTATGTACAGCCCCTGGCACAACAAAGCTTTGATCTTTTCTAAGGAGGGAAGCGCGAGACTAACAGTTAGTGGGTTAGGCATTGAAGTGACAAATAAGGCAGGAAACACAGCGCAAAAGGGACCGTTCAAATGACATCCATATGGCTCACTTGCAATCACGCTGTAGATTACAATTCCATTTATAAAGCCTGAATGAAGAGCCATTGCACGAGTGCTACAAACACAGCAATACAAGTGAGAGAGGGTTATAAAGTGATCAGAAGAAAGTGGCAGAGGTAAGTACAGGCCACGGTTATAAGCAGCCTGTCAAACTCTCTAAAAACTTATTAGCCCTCTGGGAGAATATCGGTGAACCATTATTAAACCTTTCTATAAGGAGAAGCTGAGTATAAAGCGGGACCCGACTGTGAGTCTGCAGCTAAATCTGCATCCTGCTTCGTCCAGCCCAATAATATGGCGAAATGCTTGGGAGGTTTCCCTGGGGGTGTTCACAGTCTCTTCCACCACCCTTTACAGGAAGCCTCCTCCTCCACCCGGCAGTGCCACCGACAGCTGTTCCTTGGGAAACCTTCCTTGCATTTTTGCACCAAAATAGAGTCTGCACATTCCACCCAGCCTGTGTTTTTGCAATGACTAAAAATAACAGCCCAGTGCCTCAGAGTGGCCCTGGTATCTGTCCAAGCTCTGTCTGCAGTGGTATTAAATTGTGAGGTGTCACCTGCAGAGAACTATCGGATTAAAGGTAATCTTTCACAAGTGGCTCGTGATGTCCCGTGTTTCAATGCGGGGGCACCCAACCCGAGACATTTTATGGGGTCCTAATTTTTACAAGTCGAACCTCCATCATGTCCCCTTTGAAAATCTTGGCCCTAGACATATACTCGTTTCACAAGTAACTCACTAAAAATGAAGTGTATTTTAAAACCGAATTTCCTTTTAACATTGCTGCCCTTTATTGGCTGGGTGGGCATTTCACTCCATTCTCGCACTTTAAAGTCAGAGCCACGTTCCACATTTCAGGTGTTAGCCCTGTGCTTCAATGTGGTTCTCGCGGCTGCCACATCTGCTGGGCAAACACCTCCGGAGAAGACGAGCAGATTTAAACCTTGCATTGTCAGCTGTTTGTGTGTATGACTGAGCCTAGTTAGCCCAAACTGAGATTGGGCACATGCCGTACAAACACATCAAGGCGACTGTCCTAAACTGTATGCATTTGCAAGCTGAAAACAGTGTTACCAATCCACACTAAATGATTACTAAAGATTCCCTTAGTGTCCCATTTATAGCAGTCATGCAAGTTCCTGGCTGGGATGATGTAGTTGGGGCTGGTCCTGCTTTGAGCAGGGGGGTGGACTAGATGTGACCTCCTGAGGTCCTTTCAACCATCATTTTCTATGACTCTATGATAAAGGCTCATTTCTAAATGGGCGCACTTCTAACCTGTTTTGCTGTAAAACAAAAGCATGAAACTGTGACTTGACTGCATTCCAAAGGGTCGAAAACCCAGAAGGCAAATTAGAAAACACGGCATGGGTTATTTTTTCTTTAAATCCCATCATTTTAAGCCACTGTTATGATTTTCTGAAACTGGAGTCATCATTTTTTAATGTCTGGAGCTGACAACACTGAACTATCCCATGAGGCTGGCTGATCCTTAGAAAGAAGGGAGCTTGAAAAGCAGATCCCAACCACACTTTGCAGCATTGAATGTTAGGTAAAACGATGGCGTTTGTAAGTGAAGCAAAAATATGTTCCAGGAGCAAGAAAGGATAATTGAAAAGCCTCCCAGCATCATTGTTCTGGATCCTTTTTTGACCATGGCTTCACTAGAAACAGATCTCTCATCCCTGCCAACACATCCACCCTTTTTTCCTCATGCTGGAAAACTCAGCCCGGAGCCCTGTAATGTTTTTTATCCTGTGCCCTGGTTGCAAGCAGGCAGGCAAAGCTGAAAAAGCTGAAGATGCACTTTTTTAGCCACTGAGAGGGATGAACAGAAGCTGCCTGTACTCGCCCCAGCTACGGACAATCTGCCTTTTGCACCACTGGAAGCTGGACGGTGTTCTCCGCTCATCCCAGAGGGACAGACTTTCAACCCAGCCTGCTCAGGAAAGGCGAACCATTCAGTCTGTCTAGTTGGCCTCTGACCTTCCTCCTAACCCACCCCTCTGCCTTCCACATATTTCCTAGCCACCGCAGGGACAAAAGGTCTCCAAGTAGCAGCTGTGAAGGTGCTGGACCTGGACAGACTGCCAAGAATGCTGCCCGGGCTTGGGGCTGAACGTAGCCTTGTTGACCTCCGCTAGAACAGATGGGATCAAGGCAGTGATGGCAGCACAATGGCCCATCGGAGCACAGGACAGGGGAAGAGATTTGAACATGTCACCATTGAGTTAGCAGAGCCAATGAGTGCCTGGGCCCCGGATTAAGCTGCCACCTCGGTTTCCTCTCCGGCTATTATTAGCGCTTACCCAGCTATGTGCATTCCACAAGAGCAGCCACACGAGTGGCGCCAGCCGTTCGCGGGCCTTTTGTCAGAGGGCTGATGAGCTCCCCGTGAAGCAGGGGGGAGGGGGGGAGGGGAGGAGGCCAGTGTGATTCAGTACAAGGGACTTTAATTTCTAGTGGCAGACACATGATCCATTATAACGAGGAGGAGTGGAGGGAGGGAGCGGAGCAAGTTGTGACAGCGATGCACCCATAGGAGTGCTTGTGTCGCAGCTCGGAAGTGACTCCATCCGCCGGAGGTTGAGGGTGAGTTGCCACCGTTCGCTCACCACCAGGGCCAATATATAGCAGGGCATAAGGCAAGACGCCTGGACGTGCAGGTGGGAGAAGGAAAGGATGTGGCAGGATGCCCGTCTGTGCCACAAACATAGACACACTGATGGGGATCTGAGCCAGCAATTAAACTTACTGCCGCCTCCAGAGAATCCCATAGTTTATAGAGAAGGGATACGAGGGATTCCTGGTAGCAAATCCAGCCGACCTAGGACACTGAGACACTATCCTGCCTCTTCTGTGACATTTCAATTACCCGGTCGCTCCAGCCGTTTAAAGACAAAGTGCTAGGAAATACAGCAGGGACAGTGATCCTGCCTCAGCGGGCAGATAAAAGCCAGCTCTTTTCCATCTGGCAGGGGAAATACCATGATCACCACGGTGGTTTTCCCAGGGACAGGGAATAACCACTTTTCTGGCATGGGGTAGTATCCGTGGAGGTAATATATAGTTAATCTCCCACTTTCATTTCCAATGGGAAGATCTTGGCTTTACGCCCACTTTAGGGAAATGGGAGACTCCTCCCTAGCTGTGGGCATCCGAACCCCAACCTCCGGGCTTGGGCCTGCACATAGGATGCCACCAAATGATTTGGAAACATCTGAAGCCCCAGGTGGGGGTGGAAGATGTTTGCCGGTAGTAGGGCCATACATGGGTCTTGAATGACTCGTGGATTTGGAATTGATTTGGCTGATTTGATTTTCCTTAGGAAAAAAAAGAAAAACAACTCTGGTTTCCATGCTCCTGTGAAATAGCAAGACAGATCCCTTTGCTCTGAGTAATCCCTCTCCTATCCAGCTGAGAAAGGTCCAATTTGTGTCCACACATGACGCACAGTGCTGGGGCAGCTGGCACAACCAGGGGACAGAATAGCCCACCTGTGAGAGTAGCCATCTGCTGCAACACATCTACATAAGGTAGCTGCTTGGCATCGATGGGATCTGCCTTCCTTCCCAAGTGTCTCACAGTTCAAAATAGTGGATTTATTCTTGTTAGAAACAAATTGAGAATGAGCTATCTAATGGCACCCTCACTTCACAGCACACGTCAGATCCTATAGCAAGCCTACGTACAGCCACTGCTATCAGCATGGCTAGCGGGGGCTTCACAGGGTGACACAAAGGGCTTTTTGCTTAGCAGCTGTGTTTGTTCAGTGCAGATGATTTCAGGAGCAAAGTGATGACATGCTGCTGGCCAGCCACCCCAGAGAGACAGGGTGCTGAGCCTGCAGCTTCTTTTTTAAATAGATGATTCAGTCATTCGGTAGCTCACTGGGGATGGCGGTCTAGCAAAAGTCCCAGCAAGAGAGGTGATGGACTCCAACAGGTGGGTGGCATTGTTTCCTACTGGACATAATGGTTTAAATAGAATGCAAAGCTAATCCGCGGGGCTGCCGTCCTTGTAAGACAAGCTTTTTTTTTCTCAGAGGCTAAAAGAAGGTTATGCTTTTCCTTCGCTTGGGTTTTGGCTGTTGCATCTAGCCCAGCTATTCTCACTCAGACTGTTCTTAGGACAAAGAGGGAGGAAGGACAGAGCCCTTCGCATTCAGAGATATGCTGTGCTTACCTTTTCCCTCTGCACCTCGGATGAGTCTCCAGTCATGAGCTAGTGGGACCTTCCTGAGAAAACGGTGTAGTCTCCTCCAGAAGGCTAGTTGTAGGTTGTAGGCATGGTGTAAAGTGGTTGAATTCTGGAATGAGGTTTCAAGATTTTGGTAAGGTTTCGGCAAGGGTGGCCAAAACTTGCAATGGGCTTCCAAGGGAGGTGGTGCTCTCCCCTACCTCAGGGGTCTGTAAGAGGAGGCTGGATAGGCATCTGGCTGGGATCGTTTGACCCCAGCACTCCTTCCTGCCCAGGGCAGGGGGTCGGACTCGATGATCTGTTGAGGTCCCTTCCAACCCTAACATCTATGAATCTATGAAATATAGTTTCTGTGCCTTCTGTGCCTGAATGGCATTGAAAACTTTACCAGGGAATACAAAGGATTGTAAGTTTTGACCCAGCAGGTAAAAACATAGCTTTCTCAAGTTTGGTGTTTGGCAGATGTCTGGGTTCCTGCTAATAATGAGAGATTTTGCAGAGCAAGCACTACACTCAGCTTGACTTTAACCACAGAGTTGATCATACAAGTACAGCATGGGCCAGCGCCACCACTGGTGTCCCTTACCTGACTGCAGGGGAGTGAGGCAAGGGACAAATTTTGGTTCTTTCTTCTGAACCTTTCCAGTTTGCTGCTTCTGTTAATCAAGACAAGCTTCACAAACTGGAACCTGTGTGTGTTAACTGACACCAGACGAGCTCCTGGTACCCTAGGAGAGGCTTTGGTTTTGGTTGCAATGTGCAGATCAGTTTTGCATTAGTGAAGATGATAGGCTAAATTACTGGCTGCTGGGCAGAGTGGGCGCTGCGCAGGTTCCCTGCAGATCCGCTTCACGGGCACCACTCAGCCCTGCCGTACAGTCCACTGCCAGGGCATCAGGGACCTTTCCTCGGGACTGCTCCAGCCTGTGGCCCCCCTGCTATTTCAATGCCAGACCTCTATTGAACTGAGGCTACCAGCCATGCTGGAGATGCTATCAAGCTAGGGGACAATTCATGTGTCCGTGTTAGATCTTAAAATTTCAGCTTCGTGGATTCAGTCTTAAAATACTTAACCAGATCCGGGGGGCCCTGGGAGTCCAGATGGCTGGCTTGACTCTCCTCCTGCATTTTTTTTCTTAAGCAAAACTCCCAGTGGCAGTTCTCCTAGTTGGGGCCGTAGGATGCAGCCTTTTTCTAAATTAGCCCGTGAAGATGCCTTCATGATCAGGGTATCGGGTTTAAAATCCCTAGACTGTCTGGGGCCAGGAACAATCATATGGCCACGTTTGTGTTGGTGGGAATCAGATAATACCAGGCTGGATGCGCATCAAGGCCATTGTAATAAATAAAATACATTCCAGCAGGGTCTGTCAGGTCTTTCATCTCTCAAAGGGAGACAAATTGCACAAACTTTGCCTAGCCTTTTCAGATCAGACATTAACAGTCAGTCTCATGTGCTTTGGGTCAGACAGTGTGTAATATCTATAAGTTTTGGCCCAGCAGCCTCAGCCAAAATATCCCCTGACACCAAAGAGGTGGCCACATTTCAATATTACGATGCGTGTACTGTTTGTGAAGGGCTCCGGCACTGTCTAAATGTCAAATATTATGCATCCTATGCAGTGCTGTTTAAGAATTGCAAAATCACTGCAGCCCATCTTTCTGGTCACTGGAATGAACTCTTGTTCCTTAAGTACATGGGTTCTTATCTATAATTAGCAATTTACAGGGTAACTGCTAAGCATTTTGTCACGCAAAGCTCTGCGTAATTGCATACTTTCCATGCTTTCAGAGCACACGGTTCATGCTGCTGTTTTTAACTCCCTCTGTTGAAGGCCTGCTATTTTGTGAAAAGTGATAAGCAAACATCAGCCTTGCAAATACCATGTGCTGTAACGTTAAAAAAAGAGAGACAGTAAATGAGTAAATGATAGGGCGGGACTTCACTGAAAGGCCCATATCTAATTATACCTATTAAAAGAGCAGCCCACCAGGCTTCCCTTTTAGCGGATGGAAATGCTTTGAGACACATTTGGGTTCAGAAAGTTTGCCATGTGCTATCAATGGGAATAAATCATTTGTGCTATGCAAACTATGTAATCTATTGTAAATCGCAACCAAGCTGTAGCAATAATGTTATCTAGGTAAACCCTTTCCCTCTGGGGTCTCCTTTTTGTGCTGGTTTGCTCGGCCTCTAACACAATGGGGTTCAGATCCAGGACTGGAGCTCTGAGATGCTCCCACAAAACAAACAGCACATTATGTCAGGGCACCTAGGCACAAACCCAGGGTAACTAATGGGCGTGCAGTGCAGACAGACCATCTGTTGCCGGGCTTCAAGTTTCCATCCACACCTTTTCCCAGCCTGCTTGAATTTAGCATTTGTATCCATAATCCTGACTCAGTCCATGCCCCCTAGAACAACTGGCTGCCTTAAACGATTGGCAGTGAAGCAGTTCGCAATCTTGCCGTTCCTATTGTTGTTGGGAGCCCCATTGTCCATACCCCGCTGAGATGCATGAAGAGTGTTTCCATCCCTGAGAGCCACTTTTCTAAGCCATGCACTAAGCAACACACAGATAGCATTGCAGTAAACTGAGGCATACTGGAGAGGTTGCCTTTGCAACCAAAAGGGCTAGAAACTTGCTGGAAACTTTTTTCCCTAATCAAGAAGCTGCCAGAGCCATCAGGTTATTGCTGGCTTGTAATATCGACCAGCTGCTGCTCAATCAGCCTCCTGTTCCTACCACTTGATCCATTTATTCTGGGACTCTCAAAGCCACTTTGAAATTTAGTGGGATTGGATCACCTCATTCCATACAACTGAAGGAACCTTCTTGGTATTCAGGTCCAGCTCCCTGCAATCACAACCCGATCATATAACCCCGCTCACAATGGTTTGCCCTCATTGCTCCTGTTGAAAGGTTGTTCCAGAAGCTCACGCTGTGATGGTTACAAACCTCGTTCTAATTCACAGTCTAAATGTATCCCCTGGGGCTCTGTAAGAGATTCCAGCCTTCCTAGGTATTGCAATGACAAGCAGAACAAGTAGGATAAAACTGGGATTTCCTATTGGCCAATAAGTGTTTTTTTATGAGAAAATGTCCTGCAGCTGGTTCAGTGCTTGTCTATGCTCCATTCTTATATGATATGACTATAACAAAGAAGTGCTTAGCATACCAGGGCACACATTGTATTTCATTTAACAAGTGCCAGAAGCTAAATCCTTTGTCCCAAGGGT